GAAACCACTAAGCAACTCATTTACTCCCTCATTATATCACAACTTGACTACTGTAACTCCCTCCTCATCATCTTACCCCACCGCAGGCTATCCCCGCTTCAGTCTATCTTGAACGCTGCGGCCAGACTCATCCACCTTACTAACCGCTCCATATCCGCCATCCCTCTCTTCCAATCCCTCCACTGGCTTCCGATTGCCCAACGGATAAAATTCAAAATGCTAACACTGACCTATAAAGCTGTTCATAATACTGCCCCAAACTACATCACCAATCTGGTATCCAAATACCACCCAAAACGTACTCTCCGCTCCTCACAAGACTTCCTACTCTCTAGTTCCCTGGTGTCCTCCTCCCATGCTCGTCTCCAGGACTTCTCCAGGGCTTCCCCCATCCTCTGGAACTCCCTACCCAATCCATCAGACTATCACCTACTCTACTTGCCTTTAGGCGCACTCTGAAAACCTATCTCTTCAGGGAAGCCTACCTCGCCCTCAGCTAATTACTGAACTCCTCCACTCTTCCTACCACTCCATCCCCCACAGCTATTTCCTCCTGTACCACTATCCCCTCCCTCCTAGATTGTAAGCTCCAAGGAGCAGGGCCCTCGAACCCCTCGTGTATTGTATTGTATTGTTACTGTACTGTCTCGTGTACTGTCTCCCATTGTAATGTACAGCGCTGAGCAAACTGTTGGCATTATATAAATACTGTATAACAATAATAATAATAATAATAATAAAAGCAAACATCCCATAGTGTAAAACCATAATAAAACTTTAATGATGGGGGAGAAATTATAAGAATAAAACTCACAAGCAAAATGCCCATAACCTGGCACTCAGTGTATTCAGCCTTACTGCCTGTGAACAGGAACCAAGATGGCCGCCGCGTTCCAGCATGTGTTCCAAAGATCGGAAATGACAAGTTGAAGAGCACAGCCATCCGGAGCAGTGTGCCCAAGCTGACAGGGAGGAAGACTGTAAACAAAACAGTCTTCCTCCCCGTCAATGATTTTTGGTAAGCACCAGACGCCGGCCGGTAATCACCGGCTAGGACCCAGTGATCGACATCCGTGACCGCGAATGGCGGTGCGGGTAGGGCGTGGGCCCCCTACCAGGAAATACAAAATCATGTATATATACGTGATTTTACGCACCCATGCCACCCTGTAGCAGTATATCTGCTATACGGCGGCAGGTAAGTGGTTAAAGAAAAAATAGCTATGTTTGATCTATCTAGGTCAGTGCCAGGGTTAGTATTTGGGTCAAAGGTCAAAATACGCACTATTGTTTCTGGGCTGCACTACAGGTACAAACAACAACTAATATACATATATGCGGTATCACTGTGATCATCAGGAGCAGGAGAATTTATTTTTTTTTGTTTTCTTTGGTGGTAAACTATGGTAGTAGCAAGAAATATACAGCTGAATTACTATTTTCACCTATTTTTCCTTTGATAATTAAAAAAAAGATATCATTACCATTTACCACCAAAAGAAGGTCCAATTTGTCCTGGAAGAAAACAAGGTATAATCCACCTGGATACACTAAGTAGTTGTCATGATATGTACAGTTTACCTAACACATGTCAAATTTGATAAATTGTCACTGAAGGGTTAATGTTGTTTTTAGTAAATGTAACCTCTGTGTTGTTCATCGTGTTCTCAGTTAAAATTGCCCAGATTGATGAATTTGTGGATTAGCAGTTTTTGTTAATGGCAGGACCAACTATGAAAGATAGAAGGACGGATCATGCCTACATAGTTGATGACCCTTCAATGTCTATGGATAGCCGAAGGAAGTTTATGGATTATTGGATTGTGTATCATTTTCTGTACGGGAACGCTGACAATATGGGATTTACTTATTTGCCTCATTTACACACCCAAATCTAGGAGATCTCAACCTTTGACATTGGAAAGTGTTGGAACTGAGCAGCTCAACTTTAACACCTTCCCGCTCGGCCTATAGCAGATTGACAGCCAGGCAGGACACTCGCCGTTGTGATTGGGCATAATATGACGTCCTGTCCAAACGAGCCACTCACGGCGGCCGCGCGGCGGCACGATCCGTCACCGGCTGTGTCCATGGGACACAGCTGATGACATATCACTACATTGGCCCGTTGTCAGTGTCATGTGACCGCTGTGGCCAATCACAGGAGATCACATGTCAATTGTATACAATGGATGACTTCCTGTGATGCCATCTACTGTACACAATTACATTGGTACCTTGACCTACGAGTGAATTAATATACGAGTTTTCCGAGGTACAAGTCGTCACTCGGTTGATTTTTTGCTTTGTTATGCGAGCAAAAAATGAGGTACAAGCTCGAGATGCTGCTGCTAGATGGCGTAGTGAGCAGTGACGCCACAGCATCCCCCAGCCTCCAACACTCTCTCTTTCTCTTCATGTGTTCACCTCGTAGAGTATAAATATATAAATCAGCACACATAAATATCAAAATCCTCAAAAATCCCTTAAAGTCATATCAATATCCTTCCCCTGAAGTACCAATAATTAATAAATTCATAGACTTAAACCAAAAATCCGCAATTACAGTGCAAAATCAAGTCCCAAAGTAATTTCCCAAAATATTATGCAAAAATAAAATAATCTAAAAATATATAAATACATCAATAAAATAAAATAAAGTCCCAACACACAAAGTGTCCAAATAATGAGTCCAAACTAAGATCAAATCTTGATAGGAAGACGCTTCCTACTCCCCTGAAGAAGATGCAAATCAATCACAGGTGCTCTTCAAATACCTCAAAAAAACAAAATCTAGACATAGTATATACTTTATTTTATTTTATTGATGTATTTATATATCTTTAGATTATTTTATTTTTGCATAATTTTTTGGGAAATTACTTTGGGACTTGATTTTGCACTGTAATTGCGGATTTTTGGTTTATACCTCGTAGAGTAAACACTGTGATTCGTTGTGCTCGCGGTTTCTTGCTTTGTGCTTCAAGTTTTGTGCGAATTCCTTCTTCTAACTTTCTTCTAACCATGTCTCCCAAGAAAGTAAGTGCTAGCTTCTTGCTAGCTTCCATCCTCCTCTGTCTATCTCCTCTACCCTCCACCTCTTCGTTAGCTCAGGTCGTCTCATCTCCAAGGTAAGTACACTGTATAAAACCTTATTATATCTTTACATACTCTTTCTATTATGTTTTTATACAATATTTGTTATTTAGAAATGTATTTTCCTTATTTAGTAACATGAAATATAAAAATATGGGGTGGCGTTTTTAGGGTTGGAATGGATTAAGGGCATTTTAAGTATTTTCAATGGAGAAAATTGATTTGATGTGCGAGCAAATCGCGCTACGAGCTCGGCCACGGAACAAATTAAACTCGTAGATCAAGGTACCACTGTATGTTGTTAGCTGTGACTGGTCAAGGCAATCACATGATACAGACAGGACCAATCACAGCCCATCTGTATCATGTGATCAGCTTTCTCCAATCACAGCTAATCACAACAAAAGACTGAATGAATCAGTTTCATTCAGTAACAATGATTGCAAATATCAATGAAATACATTGGTATTAGCAATCATAATGTGTTAAAAAAAATCCTGATCACTTTCCCAGAGTAGTTCAATGTTAATATGGTAACAATGTATTGCTTTGGTCACAGTGTGCTGAAAAATAAAATAGTAAATAAAATAAAAAATGTAATAAAAAAAAAAATAATAGAAACATTTGAAAAAAAATATACAAATTCAATTATTATTATTATTTTCACCAAAGAAATTTAGCAGAATACATTTTGACCTAAATTTATGAAGAAATGTTATTTATTTGCAAAATTTTATAACAGAAACGAAGAAAAGTGCGTTTTTTTTCAAATGTTTCAGGGGTTTTTTTGTTTTATTTAGCAAAAAATAAAAACCCCAGTGGTGATTAAATCCCACCAAAAGAAAGCTCTATTTGTGTGAAAAAAATTATAAAAATTTCATATGGGTAGATTGTTTCATGACTACGCAATTGTCATTCAAAGTGCGACAGCGCTGAAAGCTGAAAATTGGCCTTGGCAGGAAGGGGGTATAAGTGCTCGGCATTGAAGTGGTTAAAAGCAGAGCCAGAATCATAGGAGGCATTAGAAGGCAAGGCATCCCCCAAATGACTTAGGTGCCCCCCTTCATATGACTCATATAGCATTTCTTATGATTTCTTCCATGGTAAGGTTGTCCGTCCATTACAGTCACATTGTCCTCTTCTGGTTGGTATCTGGTGAAGGGTGGTGTTGTGATCTATTCTGTCATCCATGTTCACAGGCAGATGAAACATGGGAGGACAGTATGTCACTAAAGAACGATCTAAGCATTCATAAGAAATGATATTCCTGAGTTCACATTGGGTCAGTTGACTTTGTTTATTTTAATCCGTTCAGTTTATTAATCTCATGGGTGACAACCGTCTGTCCCAAGAGGCAGCACAACCAGCTAGGAGTTTATATTGTTTCTCTTGTATAACTAACAACATCCACTTGTACATACAGTACATCACGGGGTTTTCTGTTACCCTCTTTCCTATGGAAGAGCCTTGGGGCCATCCTAAACGTTTTTAAACACAATTCAGAATTTTTGAAATGTTTGAAATTCTGAATTTTGGCTTTAAATCTTAGAATTTTGTTTAATTAATAGGATAGCCAAAACGTGCAACTCAGAAACTTTGAAACTCAGAATTGTCATTAAAAACAATTTAGGATGGCCCCAGGGCTTTTCCAATACATTCCTGACAGCTGATGTAGAATTTGATCAAAAGCAAGGTTTCTAAAGCAGGGTTCCTCCAGAGGTTGCTCACGGTTCCTTGGGAGCAATGATAAATTCCCACTGACACCCAGTGGTGTATTTAGGTTTTGTGCTGCCCTAAGCAACACAAAAATCGGCTCCCCCCCATGGAGAGACCCTGACACCGACCAACACCCCCCCCTCCCCCACGAAGAGAGCCTAGCATTGACCAACAGCACCCATCCCCCCCTCCACCCCCACTCAATAGAGCCTTCCACAACCACCGCCCCGTATACACTGACAACCCCTCCATCCCCACCCGACAAGAGAGAGAACACTCACCTTCACAGCTCTGGACGTCCCTGGGAACAAGAGTCAGGCTCTGCATACACCATCAAGCAGCCCACAGCCAGATCCCACCTGGTCCCCATGCTGTGTGTGTCCCTTCTTTCGGGGGGCAGCACTGCCCCCCTGAAAAATGATGCTGCCCCCCTGAAAAATGCCACCCTAGGCAAATGCCTTGTTTGCCTTGTGGTAAATACGCCCCTGCTGACACCCTTGATCTTTTTAGCTAACTGTAAAAGGGTTTTCTTCCCAATGTCCACAAGTGTGTAGGCAGGTGCACTCAGTTTTCTCCACTGTAGGTGAAGCTCAATCCGAGTGATAAAACAGTCTGGAAAGGAAGTCTAAGGGAAACACCATTTCTCTTTGGTTTCCCGGGTCAATGGAACAGCATTCTAGTTGGCTACTCTGAGGCCATGTGACTCTTGGCAAAATTCCAGTAAGGCAAGGAAAATGATAGATCTTTCAGAAGGTTCTGAATGTCCATTTCCAGCTGTAGCAAATGGAACCTGTGCCAGGTGAGGAAGGCTGGACCTTGGTGTGAGAAGTCAATAACAGTAGGGTCTAGTTAAGTCTCTGCCCCTGGGTTTTGGCACACATTTTGCAAGTGCCTAGTGTAGGGAGAGATATCCCGTCTGTTAGGGAAAGTAACTATCAGTAGGAAAAGGTTCCTGACAAGAAGGAACAGGCTTGGGATTCGCTATCCTGGAAAGGAGCCTCTCTTCTTGGGACTGGACCCTCTGAAACAGATGCTGTCAGCACCTCTCCTCTACCACACCATGCCACATCTGCATTGAACTGTGAGTTTTTTCCCTCGTGTCACTCTCCCTACAGGGTGTTTGTAACATTGGTATTCTATTTAATAAAAGTTTCAAGTTTACCGCATCCAGACTCTGTGTATTTACTACTCACACCATGCTGCACCTCCCTACAAGTGTAAGGAGCATTCTTCCCACTGACCATCAGGCTAATATATCATTAGTTGTAGATATAGTCATTTTTAGCAGAGGTTCCCTGAGACCAGAAAGTTATTTCAAGGATTCCTCTGTTGAAGAGGTTGAGAAAAGCTTGCTCTAAACCTTCTCCAATATCTCACCTCTTCACCCACTGATCCACCAACACCTCCTCCTATGCTATGCCACAATACATTCTGTCTTATAGGTAACTTATTAAATCTATAAACTTTTCTTTTATCTAGCCCTTAACTGTTCAGATTGTAAGTCAAAGATGCAAGATTCTCCCTTCTATTGTATTTTGTTGTTTGCTATGCATCTCCATGTACTTGTTTGTAAAGGATAATTGTTTGGAGACAAAACCTCCCTTAGTCCTACTGTTGAGGTGTCCCCCTGCTCAGGACCCCTTACAACAAAGCCCAGCCTTTGGACTTCGTTTAAAGACCATGGCCCTTTAAATAATAAGCAATTTCTATCATGTGGAATTAAACCAGTACTTTTCTCTCTGAAACAAAATGAATTCATATTTCCAATCCAGGAAGGCTCATGAACATGTAAACGCCCCTCAGTGTTAGCTATGTGTCTGTACACACTGAGGAGTTTACAGGTATTTAGAGGCAGAAAAAAACTCCACTGTCAATGAATTCAGGAGCAGCAGCATTATGAGAAAAAAATGCTTGCTACACCTAAATAATTTTAAAGGCGTGTTAACACTAGGCCCATTTAGTGCTTTCGTTTATTTCAATGGCCAGAGTAAATTATTCTGGACCATGAAATGAATAAATGCTGAAGTTCTTGGCGCACCTAAACTCATTTACAAAAACAGCTTTAGATGCATTATTGAAGCTGCTTTCCGCCTGCCAGAAAAAAGGTGTTCAGAAGAGCTGGGCAAACAAGCAGTGTGCATGAGTCCTGTGGGAACTCACTTCAAAATGGTAGAGCTTCTTCAAAGCACACAGCAACTCGCTTCTTTTTAAGGGCCTTTTTGCCCAATTTTATTTAAAGGAAAGAGTTCAATAACCAAAATGCTTCCCACGCAGGGGTATCCACCATCACAAAAATGTAACAAATGTCAGCCTTCTGGCTGGTACACCGATTTTCGTCTGTCTCCTGCAGACTCTATCCAAAAATGGCTTTCCCGCACACAGCTAGCCAATAGCACACAGCTTGTCTGGCTTCCACCTCTACTAGGTGAAGCCCACCTGACTCCAAGGCAGAGACCTCCTGTCTGTCGAAGAGGAGCCCTCCTGACTCCTGTCTGCCAGGTGGAGCCCTTCTGACTCCTGTCTCCCGGGGTGGAGCCCAGAATCATGGCCTGGCCTCCACAAAAAGGCCTGCACACACCTGTGCAATCATCGTGCTGGCTGCTCTCAAAATATGGGCCCAGGATTGGAGATTTCATTCCTCCCAAATCTCTTAGAAATCTCCAGGCTACAGGTCCCAAAACAAGCTTTACAAACCAAAGAGGAAACTGATAAGCCAGTTTCCTCTGTATTATGAGAACTGCCTGGAGCTCCTCAACCTGTATGGTTGAGAATCCTGGATCTCCATCGTGGCAGAATACCGCACTGCCACAGTCCTTATCCTGCTAGCATTAGTAAATAGGAAGGTATATTATATTTACTTTTTTTTTTTTTTTTTTTTTTACATTTCTTCAGTTGCTTCCTGGTTTCTGGCCTAGGCCAAAATGATGTCATACATCCTAGGAGTCTTCATGGGTGATATTTATCTTTCAACTGGAGGATGGGAGAGGTCAGGGGTTCTTCATCCTCTTAGAGCAGAAAGAAAACTCCTCCTACAACCTTTAACCAGTACTCAGCTGGACACTGATAGAAGTCACAAGACTGCTTTAAATGCTGATGAGAAAATGTATTTAGCAGTTTATATTTACTAAAATAATTGCATTTCCATGTTCTGTGTACTGTGGGAGACCGGATATAGTGAATGCAGGGTCCTGGATTTAGTAGCACTTTAGGTTCCAATTTGAAGTGGTTGTAAACCCCAAATGAAATACATTACAGCCCTCAAATAAAATGGGCTTTTTTAATATAATTTGTTGATCCTGCCAATTTCTCACATTCCCTGGTTGGCGGTGCTTCATGATGCTCCCAGCTGCCTACGTCCCATGCAGAACCACCTCCTGGAGCAGATCAGAGCACTTGATTGACAGCGGCTCCTATACAGAACCTTGCTATAATTTTTTCTTGCAGCAGTCCTGTAAAGGGGATCATCAGTGCTAGGCTCACCCTCCGTGATCCGTAAACAGAGGACAGATCATGGTCACATGGCTGCAAAAAAATTGTTTAAAAATCTTTTCAGCCATTTTTGTGATGTAGCTTCTATTTCAGTAGGTTTACATACACCTTAACCATAGCAGATACCATGGTGGTTTCATCCACCTTCTTGGCCGGGCTTTATATACGCTGCTCTCAAGTTTAACAAAACTATGTTTTAATAATAATAATAATAATAATAATAATAATAATAATAATGTTAATAACATTATCATAATGATGTTTTTCATAAAAATAATCATTATTATCAATGGACGAGACTGTCTTTCCAGGCTACCAACAATACAGTATTCTTGGTCTGTGTCTATAAACAGGCACATACTACAAGCAAGCTTAGCATTCCCTTGCTCACATATATAGCAGGCTGACATCTATAAAATGTTTATATATGGCAAGGCTCGTCTGGCAAATGTATGGAGTCAGGCAGCTCTACTGATCTCATTAAACATGGGAGGTCATGGCAGGATGGCAGGAGAGAGAATGAAATCTCTCAACAGGCGCTATGTGGTCTATCCAGCCAGACACAACATCCAATGGAATACACAGGAAAGGCTTTATGTGCTTCAAACAAAACTGGGGGATATCATACCATCACAGAAAGAACTCACAATGGGAATGCCTTTGGAAGGATCTACATATCGTTTGGGTAAAAATAACATTTTGATTACCAATGTAATCTTTGCGTGTGTTTAGCTACACCCAAAGATCCTGAGTGGCATAATGGACATTACTATCTTTATTGCATACAGCTACTACAATTAGACCAAGGGAAATATTTCTATTACATTTTATTATGCATACAGTTGTGTTCAAAATAATAGCAGTGTGTTGAAAAAAGTGAATAAAGCTCAAAATTCTTCTAATAGCTTTTATTTCCATACACACAAATGCATTGGGAACACTACACATTCTATTCCAAATCAAAACATGAAGAAAAAATATATCAAATGTGTGTTGTTCCTCTAAAACAATTGAAGAAAAGTGAATATTAGACTGCTCAAAAAAATAGCAGTGTTTGTATTCTTCTTTACAAACTCAAACATTCACTATATAAACTGAAAAATGTTTGAAGATTTTGCTTTCCTTTGAATCACTTAATGAATATTTAGTTGTATAAGCACTGTTTCTGAGAACTGCTGTACATCTGTGTTGCATGGAGTCAACCAACTTCTGGCACCTGTGATCAGGTATTCCAGCCCAGGATGATTGGACTACATTCCACAGTTCTTCTCTATTTCTCGGTTTTGCCTCAGAAACTGCATTTTTGATGTCACCCCACAAGTTTTCTATTTGATTAAGATCCGGGGATTGGGCTGGCCACTCCATAACGTCAATCTTGTTGGTCTGGAACCAAGATGTTGCACGTTTACTGGTGTGTTTGGGGTCGTTGTCTTGTTGGAACACCCATTTCAAGGGCATTTCCTCTTCAGCATAAGGCAGCATGACCTATTCAAGTATTCTGATGTATTCAAACTGATCCATGATCCCTGGTATGCGATAAATAGGCCCAACACCGTAGTATGAGAAACATCCCCATATCATGATGCTTGCACCACCATGCTTCACTGTCTTCACAGTGTACTGTGGCTTGAATTCAGTGTTTGGGGGTCGTCTGACAAACTGTCTCCGGCCACTAGACCCAAAAAGAACAATCTTACTTTCATCAGTCCACAAAATGTTGCGCCATTTCTCTTTAGGCCAGTCAATGTGCTCTTTGGCAAATTGTAACCTCTTCAGCACGTCTTTTTTTCAACAGTGGGACTTTGCGGGGGCTTCTTGCAGATAGCTTGGCTTCACATAGGCGTCTTCTAATTGTAACAGTACTCACAGGTAACATTACACCTTCTTTGATCTTCCTGGAGCTGATTGTTGGCTGAGTCCTTGCCATTTTGGCTATTCTTCTATCCATTCGAATGGTAGTTTTTTGCTTTCTTCCACGTCTTTCAGGTTTTGGTTGCCATTTTAAAGCATTTGC